ATAACAATGCTTTCAGTTCATTCTTGCCAATAATATTCTTAAACACACTGCTACAGAATAAGCTCAAGAAAAAGCTGGTATGAATTTCAAGGCTTGAGTGCTGCTGCCATCTACATGGCAGGAAGACTATAAACCAAAACAAACAACAAAAATATGCACGTTGCATTTTACTAGGCAGATCTGTATGACTATTTGTCAGGGTGATTACAGAAAATAAAGTTATGAAACTAAGCAGACTTTTATATTACCCTGAGATACTGTATGGGAAATTCACAGCAATGTAGAGTACAATTTCCCCAGATCCTTATCATCAAGAAGTTTGCAAACTGTTTGGATAAAACCTGAGAATAAGAACAAAAAATGATTATTTTACTAGTGCTGGATATTGCTAATACTTTTTTCTGTTGAGTATCAACCTCTCAAATGCTGAAAAGAACAAACCTCTCAGTTGCTGTAAAGGAGAGAGTACTTGATTAAGCTGCATATATTATTTGCTCTGGTGATGCTACTTTTCATGCCTATTTCAGTAAGAGTATTGCCAGATGAAGAAAACTAGCTTTTATCCCTAAGTTTGCAAGACACATGACATAAATTCAGGCTGCACAATTCTCTACTCTTCAGCTGAAGTTTTTAGAAGTATATGAAAGAAAACAAAAAGTGTAATTAAATTGATAACGTGTAACAATTTTATCATATGCACAACCACACCCTAAAATATCTCAAAATGTTGATTGTTTCATGTGTTTAATGTTGCATAGTAACTAGCACTGCCTCGCCTTCACAGCTATATTTGTACTTACCCAGCACTCTCATATCTGTGGGATTGGGAAAATGGTGTCTGCACAACATAGGCCCCTCTCCTGGAGCACAGCTTTTCTTGGACACATTTTAGACTTTCCAGCAGGTGTCATTCAAGAAAAACTTACCATGGGCCCCAGTAGGACAATCTGAGTTATTGTGTGAATCTTAGTTGCATCCAAATTCAGTATTACTTCTTCAGAAATCACACTGATGGCCTTTTGGGATCTGTGAACTCAAATGATAACACAACTCAATCTCAATCTAATTTTAAGAACTTTGTGTAGCAGTTCAGACCGCACATTCTGTCAGGAAGGAAAAAGGGGAAGATCCGTCCTTCAAATTCCTTTACATCCTTTTCACACATCAGAAGAATGACCTGCAGAATTCAGCAGAAATATCCATAGCAAGAAGCAGGACTTTGTCTTCACAGACCCGCCATCAGGAACGCTCGTGCTTGCTAGCTAGTCAGTACTAGCACAATGACTTCTTTGAGATCCATATATGCTCCAGCTCATTTCCCTGGCTTGCCTTCAGATTAACATGCTCTTTCAAAGGGAATAAAAACATGGAGAGAGGCAATGCTGCTTACCACATGTCTGTTCCACTCTTTTTAGAAATTTCAACACTTTAACGCCATCAGACTTGCAAAATCATTCCCCTTGCTTGGTCCCTGGTGCTGTTTGGTGCTTACAGAGACACACTGTTACACAGAGATTTTGTTGAAGCGTTTTTTTTTTCTAAAGAAACACTGAATCTCATATGTATATTTCAAGCACTACACCAACTTGCTTTCAGGACATCTGTCATCAAGGTGGGGAGGAGCACTGTTTGACTAAATACACCCCAGAAATAGAAGCAATTGATTTCACTGACCAAATTCTAAAATATGTAAAAAGTACCACAGAGCTCGAAACAGAACGTTTGGATTTGGAGCAATAAACGAACAGTCCAATGGTCAGGGATGTTTCCAGGCAGGAATTTAGGTCATGTGACCATTTAACAAACATCATCATTTGGAAAACTCAAAGTCCCTCAAATCAAAGAAATGTCAATGAGTTTTGGTTTAGTCTCATATTAAATGACCAGTAACTTCATTTTTTTGATAACACAATGGATTTTGAGCATAATTTAAAAAAATGCCTGCAAGATTTGAAAGCCTAACGGCTATTTTCAAAAGACACCCACGCACAGAGCATCCTAAAGCTCCAATTCCATGCTAAGATAATGCTGTTGTGAGCATGGGTTGCTATCAGGGAATCCCACCCATCTTCCCAACCCGGGCTGCTTGTTCTTCCTCTGCTCCTTGCACTGAGACCAGCACTTGTAGTGTTATACAGTGACACCAATTAGGGCACCACTTGAGCTGCAAATTAACCTCACAGAAAAATAATAGCCACATTTCATTTGGATTTTACTGCTCTGATCTTGGAAACAGCCTGGTCATACAAGCATTAGTGCAGGCCTAAGTGAGGAAAAATAAAAGCCCATGGCTGGGATCAGGAGGGATTGTCCTGTTTAGTGACAGGCTGTCCTTATACTGCTTAAAACGGATCACGAAACCACAGCTTAAATCATGACCCTGTGATTTCTCGGGGGGGGGGGGGGGGAGGAGAGACTGAGGTTCTTAAGCAGTACATGCATTTTTGAATTTTTACCCTATATCTAAAATTTAAATCAGTACTCTAAAATCTTAGCACATGACTTTCCTTTTGGCAGGATTCCGTCAATGTACCAGAACAGAAAAAGCCATTCATAATTACCTTGCAATTTCGTTGTAGAATCAATCTCCATAAGCATGGATAGAAACATACATCAGAGTGCATTAGTACAGAAATGCTTCTTCACCTATTATGGCTTAGAAGAAGCAATAGTAGGAGGTTAATATGTATTTTTGTCTACAGCTCTAAAATTCTCACATTGGTGCAAAGAGATTGTTCTAAGCAAGAGTTCATCTTGAGCACATACTGTGTATTTGGGTATTTGAAAGACATCCAGACAGCATGGGAAATACATTTGCTTTGCTGCAAAATAAATGCACCTGATTAATAAAAAAAGTTCCTGTCTTACCTTACTGATACTAGCAATTATAATTAGCACAAAGCACGCATAAGCATGTGCCAAACACCCATCATCACTGCAACACAGCATTCCAGAGGGTTAGCTGTACTGGCAGTCTGCTGATGTGCACTGCTTTGCAGAATTAAAGACAAGCAATCAAATATTGTGTTGCACAAATGTAATCACTACCATAGCAATACTGGGTGTTATGGACAATGCTGGTTCCTTGAGCTATGGGACCTCTACGACCACATCGGTTTTTAAAACATAAAGCAGCAACAGTTCTAAGGAAATCTGTTGCTGTTGTACTAAGAACAGAGCTGGCCCAAGTGAGCAGATGCTGATGCTGAGCAGCAATATTTGTTGTGAAGGAAAACAGACTTTTCAATGCCAATGGAAGATTACTGCAGCAAAATAAAGGTGACTGTTGACATGGATCGTGGCAAAGGAGAAAGCATGGTCCATACTTTATTCTCTATTTGGTTTACTGTCTGCAAGGTTTCTATAGTGCTAGTTATATCTGTCATTTTATTTTTACTTTCTTGATGCTTGCATACATGTGAAGAAGAGGCTATATCTCAGGTGAAGACATGTTCTGCTCTCAGTTATGCTATGCAAGTATAGTAAGTCAGTAATATTATTCCAGACATTCAGCACAATAAAGGAAACAATGAAGCCAACCCATACAACAGCCAGATTATTTAGTCTCCATAAATCATATACAAGCTAGTACGATCAAAAAAAAATTTTAGAGAGGAAAACTTCTTCTAAGAATAACAAAAACTGTTTTCGAAACAAACCTAATATGTAACACAGTGACTTTTCTGTAAAAGGCAACATTTTCTGCATGGTATTGATAATTTCAGAACAGCAGCATTAAATATCTTTATCTTCCTTGAACGGTAAACTATTTTAATGACTTATTCTTTAGCTGAATGAAACCTGAAATACTACCTCTCAGAACGCCCCTCTACTCAACATTTCTAATGACCCTACTGCTATTCTCTGCATTTGGAGGCTCATAGGAAAAAGCAGAGAAAGAAGGCTTCACAATTCCTGCCCATTTGACCAAATTCAAGCCATAATATGGCAACAGCAACCTGCTCTTGTCACTCCTGCAGCCAAGACGTTTTCCCACGGGTAGAACTACTCATTGCAACAGAATCTTCCCATACTGAGAAATCCTCCCTCTTCTAGCTAAAGCACATTTATGGCTGACATGACGGTATGAGAGGATAACATCAGGCCACAGTTTCCACCATAAGATACAGATCCAGAAGAGCATATCCTCAAGGCCCCTTGACTTCATTAGCACTCTGACTGTTGGTAATACAGAAAGTGCGGTTACCACTTTCAGAGTGCTATTCTTTGTTAAATCATCAGAAGCCCCCCAGAACTATAGGTGATATTTTTGAGTCTAATAAATTGCAAATATTTTCCAAACCTAATGAAAAAAATTTAAAAAGGATAAGAACGTATAGCTACTTTTCCTAATGAGCATATAAATAGCAATTCAATGCACTGCATCATCTCAGAATAGGGCTCTAATCGGCTTCTTCAACTTCATACTGGAAGCCACATTTCTACAAATGAGGGTGCTGGCAGTGTTTGTAAAAAAAGAAAACTTACATCTTAGACATGATCACATTCATAATTAACTTCCTAGGCTATCCTGTGCACACATAGTTGTTTATATTTTAGCTGTTGCTAAATATTCCATGTTTAACTAAAAACATGCATTTTTCCTTTAAATCCAAGCAAACATTAATTTTAGAATTATTTCAAATGTATTTGTTTTTACTCGGCGTTAAAAAGTCATTGCAATAAAAATTAAAAGCAAGGAGAGAGAAATTACATTTGATTATTTAAATGAGTATGCACAAGACTAAATTGAGGCAAAAATTTATGGTAAATCAATATTGTAAGATTTGAGATCAATGCTTAAATTAGTGAAAAACATCTAAAATAAGGACTTAATATTTTCTATGTTAGCAGTATCTAAATTTAATCAAATAAATGCAAAATCTATTAGTGTTGAATTGTGCATTGAAGTCAATAAATCAGCAAAAAGAAGCTGATCACGTGGAAGATATTTCTTCTGAAAATAAACTGTTAAAGGTACATGGTAATTAATACAACAATCTGCTCCATATCCACGTCATGTATTTCCTATTTCTTTTGTATTCCTTGTGCTCTTGTGTATCTTCTAATTCTTTTGGCTAAGCAGGGTTTTCTAACACACCTTGCAGGAACACACTTTAGATATCCAAGGATGTGGCTTCATGTCATCTGGAAAAGAAACATATTCATCCAACTTAATGACTGTACAGTTTGAGGTAATGGGCAAGATTTTCTTAAAAAAAAACTTGACGATCTTTTCCCAAAATAATAAAATGTTTGTAATTTTTGAATTACAGAAAGAAATTAAGACTTTCAGCACCAGCATTCGGTTGTTAAAAATACCACCAATCTACCTCCAGAAAATTGTTTATGTCATAACTGATACATTACAAAAGGCCACATGGAACTCAACAGAGCTCAAGAGAATGGATGGCCTTTTCTAAAACATTTCTCCTGAACAGCTCTCTCCTCCTTCTTCCCTTTTTTTAAAAAGGAAACTTCTCGATGGATCAGAGAAAGATAATTTCTGTTAGGCATTAACAGAGTATTTATGCAAATATCATTTCCAAATAATATACATATCCTTTTAACAGAACTAATTCTACAGTAACTATAAACAGAAGTAACAGGAAGTTACACTAATAAGGCATTATAATTCAATTCTGTCACAGTTTATTAGAATTCCACAGAAAAGCACTCTCAAGTAAGCTAGTTTTAGCTTTATGATTTTTTTCCTATTGGTTGTATGATAATATTTACAACCTGAATTTAAAATATTACTTTTATTAGACCTTCTATAGAACTCTGCTTAAACAGATACAACGCTGTTCAGGAGTAGAGGAACAAAGAGAAAGAAGGAAGCATACACTACTCTTTCACAACCTCACGAACATCTACTTCCCCAATTTATCAAGTTAATCATTTTCTGTCTACCTATGTATGTCATAGACAGACAGATATACATTTTCTTGGATTCCACTCTGTAGCTTTACAGGCCAATTTACAATGAAATTATGAGTCATAATACTAGCAACCCTGAATGTTGACGTGACACAGCACTACATCTACTGCAGAGAAATTATTCTGAACTTAATTTCTGGAATAACGCCTGGCCATTGGAACTTTTAAACACTGTTGATGAGCAGTAGGCGTTATCAGTGCCTGCAATCAATGGGCTGCCCTTATATTGCATACTCTTCCTGCTTCATGTATCATCATCAACAACCTCCAGGACTCCATTCCTAGATTGTTCCTCTTTTATTGCGACCTTTTTACTGCTACCTCAGTTTCTATGGTGACACAAACACTGAAAAAGAAAATCATACCTTTTTAGGGTGCTGCATAGTTAGAAATTTACTGAAAATTTGCTGAGTATTACTTTCCAGCAGTGTACTGATCTGTAGATGTGTAAGTGACATGGCACTGACTTAAGTAACATACTCTCCAGCGGAGACAACTTGAAGCTGGTAACTGAATATTTGACAGAGTAAGTATAAGTTGCCCGGTAACAAGACAGTTACAATTTTAGTGCTGAATATTTAATCACCTTGTGGCTATTGAGAATCTGTTCTTTTTGATACCTCTCCTCATTCTCATTTCTATTTACTGCAGTTCCATCTCACAGAGTGTATTTCAGGGAGGGTCAGAAATCTCTCCCATATCTGCACCAAGGTTTATCTAGCACAAGCAGCTACGCAATTCCTGGGATTTTCACTATTATCTGTAATACAACCAGAATTTCACGCTATCCCCGAAGTCAAAAAACAGTGAAAAATTTAAGATGGACAATGTTTTTGGGACGAAGGGATGAGAGAGAGAATGAGCTGCAGAAGGGATCATTTAACCCAGATACTAACTGGTTACGGAAGGCCATGGGCATATAGTAGTTCACCACCATTTACACAGTTTTCAGACAAAAGATAGGAAATGCTCTGTAATTTCAATCTGCAGCTCTCAAGTCAGTCTTCCATTAGGGAAGCTCAATTTCCTTCTATTACCAATGGAAGTAAGTCTTTTGCCTGGTCTGCTGTAACATCTCTGTTGGGGGATATAGGAGGCAAGGGGCACCTCTGCCTGCATTCTGTGCCTGCATTGTTCCTCTTGACTTCAGCTCAGATCTGTTCCTTTTTTTTTTTTTTTTAAACAGGAGCTACGTTTGCAAAAGCTTCCTTAGTGGGACTGCATCATGTATGGATGCTAAGACATCTCAGGTTGTATTAAGCCTTGCTGCGTTCCTCTCAGATTTTGATGGGTGAAATTCAGAACACCTTCAGCGCCCTTGAAACCATCTTAAACAACTCCCTTTGAATCGGACGATCTGCCCTCTGGAGGTGCCTATTTTTTGCCATTCTTTACTTACAGAAAACTCAGACCTAAGAATCTAACTTAGACATCCACGTTTACTCAGTTTTGGACTCTCAGTTTGTCTAAATGTGGAAAATATGACTGACAAAGTGGAAGACGTGGCTGGAAACGTTGTTAGTTTTATTGAAGAGGCACTCTAAGGGATAGCAAATTCTTCATGGGGGGGTTGATACATTTAAGAGTCAAGGTCTACAAAAGCTGTTGTAATTCTTATCTGATTATTATGTTCAAGGCCAGAGCAGAGACAAGTTTGAAAAGCTTTGGCTTTGCATGTCAAACAGAAGTAGTCCTCAGCATGTGGGGAAAATGGCAGTGATAAACCTACTATTAGGCATCTGGGACAGAAGCCCAGCATCTCCTCTGTGTGTGGGCTAAAACAGACATGAGCCACTGTCACAGATAATGGCAGCTTGTAGGCACATGAAGGGAGCAACTAAAATCCATTTCACTTAGACAAGAAACTGCAGTCTGATATTTACCTTTGTCCATCACATGTGAAAAGTGTTTGCTGTGAATTATCCAAGAGAAAAGTGCAGGTTGAGGGGTTTCATTACCTATCTGAGAGTAGTTCAGCTCACACTTTGAACACAAGAAATCACAGGTAAATCTCAGATTGGTGTCTTGTGTAGTCAAATGGATTCCTGCTATTCATCTGAGTTTATGCCTCTTTTGCTGACTGTTTGAGGCCCACACCTAGAGCAGTGAGAACATGTGCAGTGTGAAAATAAAACAAGCAGAGTAGCCTTTAGGTGATTTTAGAAAATTAAGATCACTTTGAAAATAACTCTCAATCTAACATTCAAGGTTGGAGACTATACCAGCCACCATTATAAAAGACAACGCACAGTTAATGTCTGTTAATAGCTGCCCTATACATCTGTAACCCTACTGATTCTGTTAGGGCTTGTCATAAAGCACCCTTTCTAGGAATAGTTGCAATTCCTTGCAGATGCATTGTCATACTTTCACCTTTTTCTCATTAAAAGAGACTGTGAAGTCAATATATTTCTCAACATCACTTCCCTGGGAAATGCATATATGACAACATATTGCAAATGAAGTGCAGGACATTCTGCAACACACACACACAGGCAACTTCTAAATAAAAACTTATGAATGAAGTTTGTAAGTTTGCCCAGACTTTGAATGTGTGTGAGAAATTCTAAAGTTGCAGGTTTCACCAAATCAAACGCTGACCTCCTCGAGGCTCTTGAATTCCAAAATAGAAAGTTAAAGAACCTGAGAAATACGAGAATAAATCATAGCCATAAATGTTATATCATTGTCTAGATGTTTGCTACTAAAAGCAAGTAAGTTTCAAGTAAACGCATTCTATTACCAAATCTTTCCTTTCAAACAAGGGCTTCTGTCAGAAGTGTCTTAATTTCTTATCACAGAATTTCATCCACACAAGGAGCAATAAATAATTCATGTTCCTAGCTCTTTGTTGTGTGTCCCTGAACTGCACAGAGCTGGAAGGCTGACAGCTGTGTCAGGACAAGCACCAAAGATCTGACATGACAAGTGACTAACAAGTTTCTTTCAGTCTATAGTGAAAGAAGACAATGGCACAAAGTGCAAAAACGAAATCCTGAAACAAAATGAAACTGTTTCTTTCTCTTTACCTAAGTGTTTGCTATGAGCTTATTTCCGACCCATAACCTCTGGTCATTTTATAGTACTGCCCAACCCCCTTTACTCCTCACATTCGCCTGGCCATTTACGCCTGTCCACGGATCAATATGAGCAATTCTTGGAGAAATACGATGTCTCCATGACAACCAAGCCACAAATTCTCAGTGGAAAGCAGTGAGACCAGTAGTGAAATCTCCTGAGGTTTTCAGACCTATAAGACAAGATGTCTTATAATGCAGGAACGGACAGAAACAAAAGCCAGAGTAATTCATTGTTTATTACCAGTTTAATGATGTCAGATGGACCGAATGGAACTCAGTTTTTAAGTTTAGATGCTTTATCAACATGTATTTTTGCCAGTCATTATTCACCTCTGGCATTTTTTTTTTTTATTCTTTCCGTTACTTCACACAGATATGCACAATGCAGAACTGGACATTTCAGATTTCTATCCAAACGTGTACACTTTGCCACACAGACACTTTGACACACAGAATAATTTAAATCAATGCTAAAACTAATGTTATCTTTAAGCTGCATTAATTCTCACCTGAAGTCTTTAGTACTACTTTGTTTAAATTCTTTCTCACTTCAGAACAGATCAGTACTGGGACTAGCTACATTTTTGCCTGTAATCACTCTAGAAGGGGCTACTGATAGTTTCTGAAGGAGGTACTATGTACTATAGATAGTTTGATGTAGCTAAAGTAAGGAATTAAACTTGTTTTCGTCTCAAGTAGATTATTTATTTCTTTTTAATCATGCTGCCTTTTGCGGTACAGTAGTGAGTCCAAGCCAAAGTGGCTTTAATACAATAGTGTATTAAAAGGAATACAGACTTACAATTCATTGGTTTCAGTTATTCTATAATATACTATTGTTCATTTCTGCGGAAAAGATGAAAAGAGAATGTAGTTCCAATCAGGTGTATGACAGCAGTTGAACTCCCAAGGAATCCTGGAGGAGTGGAGCGCACTGAAATATAATCCCCCAGACATGGGTCCTATCTGGGTTCTGAGATGACTTAGGGGACCTGACATGGATTTCAGACTGCACCCTTTGACTGAAAATTAAATCTCAGCAGTGCTCCTTGGGGAAGGATCAGGGGACTGTTGGCAGCTGCCCCCTGTCAGCACAGGCTGCAAGATTTGGAAATCTCTTAACTAAGCTGACAGACCACTGAGACGATGAATCAAAAATATGATACACGGATCAGCACACAAAGATGCAAGAGGGTACACAGAAACCAGATAAACCAGGGAAGGAAAATATCAAATGAAAAAAAAGATGTTTAACTCTTTCACTAATGACTACTATGCACAAGTTACATATATGGGGTATGTGGGTCACACTCACAGCTTGCTTAACTGATCTTCGTATTTAGTCACACAATGTTTTTAATCAGCTATGACTGAATACACTGTATATTTAATTGCTGCCCTTTGGGATTCATGTAATACATTTCTTAGATATTCCATAGCTAGAAAGATAATGAAGCTAAATTAATATAAATTTTATAGTCACCAAAAAGGATGCACTTTATAGACGTTCCTGTATTTAGCTGAATCAATGTTAAAAGCCATTAAAATGAAATAACGAATGTGAGCTGATTTAAAGAAAAGAATCAAGCTATTTAACACTACCAATTTGCTTTTCTCCAGAGATACAGTTTGAATGTCCACTGCTACACTCAACTGTAGTATATATAGTTCTTCTGATTTTTCATAATCTCGCACTACCTTCAAAGGGTCAGATATTGTACATATATTAACTAAGCAGCGTAGTCTAAAAGTAATTATAATGAACTAGTAGTGGCAGCTTTCTTTTGGTCATAAAGCCTTTATCCTTTCTAAGACCTGCATTCTTGATGAAAGAGGAAAGGATAACAGCTCCACGCTGTGACCCCTGGAGGTGACCATTAATTTGACATTGCAGCTGCTAAAAATGAAACAGCATTACAATGTGCTTTTCTTACAGGCCCAAAAGCTGTGTCAGATTTATCACTTGGTACTTGGTGACTGTCTTTAAACAGCTCTCACCTGGACTCTCAGACTCTTCCAAGACACATCGGTCAGGTGTATCCTCCACATCTTGGAAGTCTGCTGAGTTTGAGCTCCTGCCATTTTTCAGCACACTGACTGTAGTGATAAAAGAAAAAATAGGGGGAGGGAGGACTGTAATATATTCAGAAATAAACAATTCCTGCTTTTCTGCAGATCTTTCAATGCTGAAGACATAATTTGTACTCAAAGTACTTACACGAAACCATACCACAGCTGAAAAATTCATAGACGTGAATTCATCTGGGGAGAATTTTGGGGCTTATATTAAATATGATCCCTTTGAAGTAAAATAATTTTTTTTTGCTCACAAAATCCTGAAACAGTACAATCATTTAGTAGCCAGGCAAAGTACTTGGCTGTTTTACTAAAGAAGCCAAGAAAAAATATAAAAGATCGATTAGATGGTCTTGTAATTACCGGAGTCATTAACCAGGTAGAAAAATTATATTAATTTTCAGATGAAAATATGCTGTATATATAAAATCAGTGACAATTTCAATATGCAGTAAAAAATAGACTGAAATGCAATTTAGAAATGAGCAAATTTGATGTCTTCTTTACTTAATTGCTAAAACCTCTAGATTTCAGAATTGGAAAATATGTTCATGGAAATAGTAATCTGTCAATATAAGACTATTCAATTCACCTGGCTTTTCAAACACATCCCAACTAAGCTTTTCTAAATAGAACAGAGCTATTCCTCCTGTCATTGCCAATTTCCCTCCCTTCTGCTCTGTATCTCCATTCTGACTGGAAAATATTGCTTGAAGATAAAAAGCAATTATTAAACAGGATATTACAGAAGAGCGTAGCAAAGACTAGATCTCAGTCCCTTAGACCCATTAAAACTCTTAGCATATCTCACTTCCTAGGGAAGCAGGAGCGACGAGACCTTAACAAAGACTTAACTGTCTTTGAACATCTACAACACTAAGCAAGGTTTCAAACTTCCAAAAGAATCGATGTGGATGGGGATCCCAGTGCCTATTCACAACTCCAGTGTAGTTTTGTCCTGTTTCCAAAACAAGATTTTTTTTCCCTGGTGCCTTTACGGATTTCTTTTTACCAGATGAATATTTGCTAGCGCATTGCTTAATATAAACACCCATTTACATTTCCCAAAATTATAAGCCAATTCACTAGGCTTCAGGGCATTACTCAGACAGGAAGTCCTCAAATGACACATATTCTGCTTCAATGCTCTGCCCTTCCTATCAGTGTGCAGCTATCGATCCCAGGTCTGCAAAGGTTCCATCATTCTGGACACCTGCATCCTCCTGCACAGAGTCCACTTGAAGCAATCAGGACTTCAAAATAATAGTGGAATTAGTCTCTTGAAAATGCAATAATAAAACAGAATAACAGTTGTGATAGTGATAATGCAACATTTCACCTGAAAAAAATGCTAGATTTTGCTAAAAAAAAAAATCCACCTCAAGATGGCAACCAACTAGTAAATTAAACCCTGCACAGCTAGAGCAGGAACACCAGTTAAATTTCTAATCTTAGAAAAAGCCAGTAGGCTTGTATCCACAGAAGACTTATCCACCTAAACAGGAGTTTTAATTCATGCCACTGCTATGGAAGAGCTGACATGCTAATCTGCATGAGGTGAGTTGACACAGAAGAAATTGTTAATCTACAATAAATAAGAAATGTTCTTGTTCATGCATACTATGATACTTTGAAGAAGAAATGTCTCCAAAGATATCTATGTGTTTCTGTGATTTCTAAAACATTGAAATAATTTTCAAGTATACTGATGGTAGGCCAGGAGTCCCACTTCCAGAAGAAAAATTGGAAAATACAAGTTTCTGCGCTATAGTTTCAAAGAAAAGTGTTTTTGTGCCAACTGTTTTAGAATGTTCTTCCTAAAACAGTTCTTCCCATTGTATACTCAACTCTGCTGTGCTGAGTGATAGATTGAGTCATTACTGCTGTATGAATGTAAAAGTCAGAACTCCTCTGAAGTAGAGCAATAGGAAAATTTCCAACAGAGAATATTGTGATAAAAAGGGAGAAAACAAAACATGCAGTCACGTCTCTACAAAGAAATAGAAAAATCACAAGAGCTGTCTGTTTTAAGAAACATAGCAGTGACCAAAAATTCACAATTGCTCTTTTGCTCTGAATGGACCTGAAGCTCCTGACTTTGGGTTCAGTAGTGAGCTCTGGTTTTACGTAGTAGATTGCCACAGTGACATGTTGCTCGAACTCTCAGTAACCATTTTTTCAAACTATTACTAAGCTTTTCTTGGGCCAAGCTACAAGAGGCTACACAATTTGAGTTTTATCCAGTGGCAGAATCTGTTTGGTCTTATATAGTACCAAGCAGGGGAGATAAATTCAACAGAACCAAGCACCAGTCCTAGTCAGGAGATGACAGACACGTGACTTGCTGGAAGTCAGTGCTGTAATTGCTCTTGAATGAGACCAAGACAAAGCCGTTCAAGTGCTCTTCCTCTGTCCCAGAGCACGTCAGCAGGGGCCATATGGCTTTAAACTGACCTGCTTGACTTTGCAAGAAAGCGGAGCTCAGAAACGTTCCTAGGGAACGCACTAGATTCAGCTAAGAAGTAACTGAAGTACTTCAGTGTAATGATAGCTGCCTCTCAGCTGAGGTGCGAGCCAGAACACAAAGTAATTTTGACACAAGTGTATCCAAAAGCTTAGCAGGGTAACGGCTTGGATTCAGGCCTAAACCAAATATGCAAAAGAGTCATATAGTGGGTTTTGTTAGCACACAGATGTAAGGGCCTGGAAAGAGAGCACCGAGTCAAACATGATACCCAGATTAAGGAACAGGTAGCTATGATTCAGAAAGACACTAGGGAGAAGGTCCGGAAGGGAAGATGAAGAGCTCTGTTTTAGTTCCTTACTTTGAGATAATAAATATCAGAGGAGATGTCAGATAGGTTGACATCTGATATTGAATAGACACCAGCTAAGAAGTAGGTCCCCACAGATGAAATATGTCAGAAGGAAGGTGTGAAGTGAGCAAGAGAGAGACCTAGACAGAGGCCAGCAAGATTCCTGGGCAAAGCAGTACGCTCTCCAGTTAATATGTTTAAGTAAAGACGACAGAGATAACAGGAGATTCCAGAGAGGATGGAGCCACACAAGCCCAAGAAAGACAAGAGAGAAAAAAATAGGGCAGGCAGAGCTGAGGTTGGCTGACAAATGATGGAAGATAACGATGAAACACTGGCATTAACAGTTGGGCAGAAAGGACTCATTAAGAACAGTTTTAAGGGAGTGAAAAGCATAGTTGGAAAGGGTTTTCCTGCACTCTAGACAACGAGTGTGAAAAGAGCTGCTGGAGAATGAGGTTCAGGAGAAGAGAGTAAAGGATGGAGAAGAAAGTGGATGCTTTAGAAAACCAGGAGACAGGGTGGGATGGGACAGGTGGGGGCCCCTTGGTGCAAGTGAAGGCAGGTGTATCTCAGCCTCTTCAGTTACCCAGAAGTACACAAATCTCCCTAGATAAAACTCTGGCAAATATACCTCACAATACCCTACTTTACAAAGTTACATAATGATTGTACACAGGGAGAAGAAAAAGACCTAGGCAGGGGCCTTCAGATCTATTTTCTTTTTTAAACATCACGTTGCATGCTCAATTTGAAGACGGTTCCTTAAAAATATCATAAAAGACGAGAGAACAAAGGGAACTGAAAAGTTAAAAATAAGAGAGGAACAGTCTGGCCCAAATAAAGAGTGAAAGTAAAAAATGGCATTATATAATCGTGGAGAAAGCACCAGGACTTAAGAATCTTATAGCTGACACCTACTTTACTAAATTAAAGTATCCCTTATAGGAATAGTTTTATGCTTAAATGTCAATAGGGGAAATATTCCTTTGAATAGCTTATAACCAGTACACTGACAGAATTCAAGAACTTATTTAAACATAAATGGTGTGATCTTTACTCATTCTAAGGCTACTCTGTTCTATTTGGAGTTTAAATGGACCTTAAAATTACTTTGGCTTCCACTGGAAAGCTAATTTGTGTAGCCAAAGTGATGTAAATGTCTGCAGCGTAAATGAGCCCCAAATCCACAAAGTCAGATAAAGAATACAAAACAACAACTTCTGATATAGTAACTCCAATGATTCTTTCTGTTCAGTGAGCCATAATTTAAATTACTACATGGATAGTACCAATTGCTCTTGTTAGCATGAAAGTGAAGCAAAAGGACACCTTTCACAAACGCAAATGACCCTGAGCTTAGCATATGAAAATGACATAAATCTTCACAGTACAGAATTAGTCTTGAGAACTGTAGTATTTTTTTTTTTTCTGGTAAGCTGTTAATAGTTGTTTAGTAAAGTTGATAGCCGTTCTCTTACGTTACAGTGCTGAACCAGAAAAAGACAGTCATACAACACAGGTATGGAATTTAGCATAGCAAAAGGATGTCAGAAAAACACAGTATTCACAGAAATGTTTTTTCCAATTATTTCAAATTCCACAAAATAAAAGCAAACGAATTCCAAGAAGAGACCACAGACTATGAAAGACCAGCCTCCGTTTGAAACAACTTTTAAAGGAAAAGCTGTCCTTTGTGAATATCCTTACAAAAACAATTAATCACGATTATTTCTACCTATTCTGTTTAAACTCTGAAAAGCGTTGCTCTACAGACATATCAAATACTTACATCTAAGCACCCTTGCTTTGAATACCAGTTTTAAGAGGGCAAACTTACTGGAGAAAAAGACTGCATAATACAGTGAATAAATTTTTTTTTTATAAGATGCATTTTTATTTTGATAAGGTGAATTAATAACTTAAAGATTGTGTACCTGCAGAAATAGCAAGACGGTATTTGCCATTCAATACGTGACAATTCAGAATAAGCTGATGGGACAACAAAAAATATTTTTCCATCAAAAATATTAGGCAAGGTAGCCGATGGGTCATAAATGTATTTAAAGTCCAATACAGAATATAGAGCAACCTGAATCTAAATAAAACAGCAGCCATCTGTAAAGGAAAAACAAAAATATGTAATTTTTGCAAAATTTTTTTTAATTCTACCTCAGTGTAGACCTTTGCTCTTGTCCTTACTGA